TCTTCTCAGCTAGTAATGACTCTGGCTGGTCTTTTGCCCAGTTGTTGAACTTGCAATCAGAGAATTTATGCACCTGATTGTTTATTTATTTTTTTTATTTTGATTACAGCTTGGTTCCACACCGTATTTTCAGTACAAGTATGGAATTTTCAGCATGGATATCGGTAGCCCAAATTTACAGACCGACCATAGATATCGGGTGTGCGCCGGCAGGGGATCGAACCACGGACCATGAGCATGGTCGGCGAGAGTCCTAACCACTGTGCCGGATATTGATCACACGTTTTGATTTTCAAATATATTCAACTGGTTAAATGTCTATCAAATGTGTTTTATTTGTTTTAATTATAGTTTTTGTTCACTATCACACCCTTTGCCGATAACCTGCAAGTTCCAAATGAGTTGATTTACCTGCCGCTACACAAATAACAGACATTTTCCAGTTAATGTCTCAGAACACTGTGTGACGAGTGATTAGTATTGTAAACTTGTTTCCTTTTATCCATGCCATTGATTATTATTACTAATATTGTTTCCTTTATTCCCCAGAGGAATATAAGGCTTCAGATGAACGTCTCCATTGCGTTCGGTTCTCTACTAACGTTTTCATCTGGCTCAACGTCTGCCCACATGCTTTCATCTCCTCTTCACATGACCTCCTCCAAGTCACCCTTGGACAACCAACTCGCCGCTTCCCATTTGGGATACACTCGAGGGTCTTTCTAGTGATGTCACTTGATGGTTTGTTTTCTCAGAGTATGGCCAATCCATCTCCATTTCTCCCTGCTTATTTGTTGCACAACCAGTTGCTGGTTGGCTCTTTCCGATAGATCCTTGTTGCTGATGTTTTCTGTCCGGCCACCTGATATTGAGTATTGAGCGAAGACAGCTGTAGATAAAGGTGTGTAGTTTGTTTGAAGTGCCCTTCGTGACGCGGCGCCAAGTCGCTAATTCGTATAGTAGCACTGACTTCACATTGGAGTTGAAAATCCGAATCTTATTTTTCATGCTGAGTAGTGCTGTTGATCTCCACACAGACTTGATGTTAGATGCAATGATGACATATATATATATCACATCTAGCTGCGTATCACTGTGCATCGGTGGCATAGCGGTTAGGACTCTCGCCGACCATGCATATGGTCCGGGGCTCGATCCCCGGCCGACGCACACCTGATGCCAGTGGTTGGCCTGCTAAATTTGGGCTACCAATATCATATGCTGAAAATTCCATAGTTGTATCAGAATACTGTGTGGAATCAAGCTATAATCAAACTAAATTAAATAACATATCAACTAGTAGCGTTTGCTAGCCAGATCGAAGTGATCGAAACATCGGACGGTTGTTTCGCTCGTCGACGGTCGACCGCATCAACAGCATATCCCGTTTGACTCCATCCAGAAGGGTTAATAGGTTCAGGTATGCATACGTAGGTTCTTTTCAACCAGAAGCACCGCTAATGAAGTCTCATGAATCGATGTTGAAACATGCCTATTCAAATATTCTAGTTTAAAGGATGGAAAGCGTCGCTATGTGTACTTGGTTCTTGTAAACATAAAAAAATGTTTCTTGACTCTAATGAAACGTTATTTGCATTCACTGGTGCTCACTACTAGTAGAATCTTAAGTAAGCTGTTTACTCTGTGTCAGCTGAATGCGTGTATCAATTCGTTTAACTATGAGATAAAATAATTGTGTAGTAATACATATTCACCTCAGTTGAGATTGTATGACACAGTTAAAGGCGCTACAGTTTTCAGTGTATTGTATGAACACTAACTAGCTAATGAAATGCATTCTTGCTGATTTCACTTAAAACTACCAAATTACTTACAAAATTTCTTCAGGTAAAAATGTGACAAGTATATATTGGTCTGTTTTACTAATGCTGACAACAATAATTATTCAAATAGAAGTTCCTTACAGCTAGTGAACTGAGCTTTCAAACCATTGTCATCTTAATTAACAGCAGGGCATCATGTAAGCTTATACGGTAATTTTTAAGCAATATACGCTGTGTATTCATTCAACTGAAGTATTAAAACAGCATTATTTATTATGTCATTACTATGTATGGTGATGTAAACAGTTCTTGTGTTTGTGAGAACTTAAAATCCAAGAGGAACACTATAAGGCACCTAAGGTTCTTGTGAAACTGCTTAACAACTTGGTATTGAGTGTTATTTTACAACCTGAGATTAACAGAAACATATATTTATATTTCGAGATTATATTTAATTCCTTTGTGTTCGGACTCGAACACAGGGCCACAAGCTTGAGCTGTGAAGTCTCAGCAGCATGGGTATTTCTTCTCACGTGATGGGGTTGCTAGCTTCACACCCAACTTTCCTTCTCCACAAGTCTTACTACTAGCTAGTCGTTATTAAGGAGCGAGTCGACCGGGAATCGAACCCCCGATCAGTATACACATATTTATTGCGAAATATTCAGTTAAATATAGTATACCTTGTATATAATGTAGCAAGCCTATTACGATAAATAAATATCTATATTTTTGTATAACGTCCTTTGAACTGGTCCGGTCCTTTAGAAAAGAAGGAATATCAGCGGAAAACCCACTGAAAATTAGAACATGGGGAAATTTAAAAACCTCGTAAAAATATGACAGGATAATGATCTCCACTTGTACGTCGGTGGTATAGTGGTAGAATGCTCGCCAACCACGCGAGCCTGGCCGGTGCACTACTTTATCTCGCTAAGCCAATAATAAGACTGGTAAAGAGGGAAGGCCGGGCATGACGTTAGCAACTCCATCCCGTAAAAATAAAATACCACTGCTACCGAAGTCTTATGTTCCACAACATCAGAAAAGTTGACTTTGATCATTCGGCTGGCAAGAATTACAATACCTATTAACAACACTGTTAGTCAATTGAGCCATAGTTATACATCAATAACAGTGCTAACAGCCATCAAAGTCCTATATAGTATAACACAATCCTTTCTGAGAAGCCCAGGGAAGAAGAACAGAGAATGATAAAGAATAGTGAGTAGAATAAATGAATCGACAAATTACAGGAGGAGTGTATGACTTACGCCAGAAAGTTTCAACTTCCTTACGTAGTAAGTCACCTAAAAAACATTTTCGTAGAAACCGACAAGATAAATCCAAAAACTATTTAAAGAGAGACTGTCGCCAAGATAGGTAATATTCGGTTTATTTTCCGTCATAGTGCTGTCAATATCGCAAGAATCATAGAACTGGATCAGTCCACGCAAGTCTTGTTCATGCCTGAAACTAAATCTAACATTCTGGAATTTAGAGGGATTCAGTTTAAGACTCCTTGAATAAGACCACCGATTAGCCTGAGTGAGATAAGAAACTATTCGTGTCAGAAATAAGTATACGGATATATGTGTTCTGTTTAGTGAAGTTGTCGTTTTATAAAACTGTCTTTCTACATTATCAATAAAATTTGGCAGTAACTCTGGACTGAATGTGCTTTAACAGAACAACATTGGGAACCAGAATCTTGATGCAAATGCACTGGTAGAAGTGTTTCTGGATTTGGCAACTTAGTTATTGACTCCATTATGGAGGGAATTTCACTTATTTACTTGTTATCATGGGACAGTCTTGTTGACTTAGAGTACGATAAGTGATGTTGTCCCCCTGGGTGAAGACGATCAGCAGATACGATGCTGAGTCTTCTGAACACACTGAGTAGAAGTCTTCGGATGTTTTGCATGCTTTTTGCTCCTGATGCTGCAAAAGTGGATTGCACTGACTTTCAGTTTAGAAATAAGTAGTAAATCGGTTGTGCGTCGGTGGCACAGTGGTAGAATGCTCGCTCGGGGTTCAATCCCCGACTGACGCACTCCTCTACCTCGCTAAGCCAGTAATAAGACTGGTAAAGAGGGAAGGTTGGGTGGGCATGAGGCTAGCAACCTCATCCCGTAAAAATAAACACCACTGCTAACGAAACTTCAAGCCTCTACTTTTGAAGCCCTATGCTCCATTGGAAACGAAAAGGAATAAAAAAAATAAATCGGCAAACTGTGTTGACCACGTCATCTTTTTGAAAGTTGCAACAGCCACAGTGGTCTGATTAATTGCTTACAAAATCTCAGCACAGAAACAAAAGGCTCATATAGTATTTGATAACTGCGGTCAACTCTACAGTAGACATGCTATCCAGACATTGGAAGTAGAAGATATAAAAAGGATAGCTAGCTGTCTTTGACTACAGATGTCTGCATAGTGCCTGACGTCTTAAGTGATATAATATTGTGAGTAATTTCTAGGTTTAAGGATGATCTCACCAAAACCTCAGATTAGTCCATGAAATCTGTGACAGTTAGTTTGAGCCACGTTGGGAGCAGTAAGCTGCCTGATCTAGGTCTTGGGGAAGCTAAGAACCAACAGCTTAAGACTATTGGAGATGTGGCTAAAAGTCATTGTCAGTGGAACAGACGCATTCACTCTTTGTTATCTCCTACACCCATTGAACCGTCACGTTTTTCAATGTTACTATTTTCTCTCTCTCCCTTAAATTTCCAGTCATCTCAATGCAACTGAATCTTTTTTTGTTTCTTTCCTTTCCCTACTCTTGTAGACTGAGTGGGGTGTGGCCACTTGAGTTGCTAGTCAAATCCTATGCAAATTTCTATGTAGCAAATCAGTCAGTCACAGTCAGTCAGTCAGTCAGCCTCTTGACTGTTATCAAAAACTTACAATTTTAGACGCATCTTTAAAAAAATAGAAATAGAAGGAGAATTCAAAAGCATCTTCCGTTTCAATTCAAGATTAGTTTACAATGCATCCTATAAAAAGTGAATTGCTAAGCTGTGAACCTATTTGTGAAGCGAACTTAGTATCGTAGACAAAAACCAGATTTATAAGGAGTTATGAAGCACAGATAAGTAAGTCTTGAAGGAAGACAGACACAAGCTTTCAAAGAAGTCATAGAATTTTAACAAGTACTTAAAAAAGTAATACGAAGCATGAATGAATGAATGAAGGAAAGTGACTACTTACTCAGCTGCTGGTTCCTTAGTCAATCCCAAAGCTGATTTATATTCTTCAATAGTAATGAAACCATCACCATTTATATCCAGGTGTTTCATAAGATCCTGTATTTAAAAAAAAAAAAAAGAAATTAAACCAACAAAGCTGCATGAAGCGAATTCATAGTGAATAAAGAAAGTGTGATTTAAGATAGAATTACAAAGCTCTACAGAAGCGTCAATGTTACTAGGGCTCATCAGCGACTGACTATAGGATGAGGGTTGCCTATCCGACTATCGACCAAAGGGCGTGTGTACTGCTCATCAGTCCGCTCCGTCCTCCTTTATGGCTGTGAGAGAGCGGAAGACACGAAAAGATTAGCTGTCTTTGATCTCCCGTGTGAAGTAGTATAATAAGGTGAGCAATATTGAGGTTAGGCGTCGAGTGCTAGGTAAGGAAGGGAAATCAGTCGACGAGACTGTGAAATTACATCGACTGAGATGGTTAGGACATGTGTTACGTATGCCTAGTCATCGCCTTCCTCGACGGGCAATGTTAGCTGATATAGGGTCAGGCTGGGAAAGAGCTAGCGGTGGTCAAACCAAAACATGGCCTCATCAGTCAGTGAAATCCACAACAGTTAGTCTAAGCCACGTAGGAAGATGTAGACTTCCTGGTTGGGGTCCTTGGGACGGTAAAAACCAATGGTTGGAAACAATTGGTGACATGGCTCAAAATCCTGTTCTCAATGGCTGGCGCAGATGCATCCACTCCTTGCTTTGTGTGCTACATGGAGTGTGGCGACTTGAACTGCCGCACATATGTGCAAAGTTCTATGTCGAAAACAGACAGACAGACAGAGGGTTGCCTGAAGCGAGACGTTGTGACCGGTTAGGTCCGACAAGTTGAGTGTAAGGACAAATAATCTGCAGTGATATTGACTACCCACTGAGCTATATGTTGCTCATTGGACAGAAGCTAGAAGTTATGCTTCCACTCAAAAAGCTGTCTGTTTTCTAAGATTTATGCTAGCTACCGATATAAATAAATATGGAAATGAAGTGCGATTACTCAGATTTGGGTTAAAATGGTTAGAGTTTGATTTCACAGTAAACCTAATGCATTTTGCACTAGTTGAGCCTGTTAACCGAAAGCTGTAGGCATTTTACAAGGACACTAGTGCTAAACCGTGATGTCGTGTGGTTGTTTCCCCCCCTCCCAGTTTTGACACATTTACAGCCAGATTAAGCTGACCCTTACAACTAGTACAACTAGTAAAACATCACAGGCAAAACTAAATTATTGTTTTTTTCACACATGATACATCTAAACAACCTACCTGTACTCTTCTCGCAGATATTCCAGCGTTAGCAAGTCGCGTCGTCAGCTCTTGTCTGCTAACAACTCCATCTCCATTTGTATCAAGAGATTTGAACAAATCAATTAGTTCTTCAGGACTTAAACATCGAGACATTGTGCATAGAATGTAGCAGGTTCAGTTAAGCTAGTTAGGGAAGTGATAAAAGCAAAATGGTTAGGTAAATGCCATAAACGTCTGTGAAGAATTAGACGGTTTACTTAAACTGATGCCTCATCAATGGGCATACTATTCATCACTTGAATCATATGTAAGGTCTTCGAATCTCCTCGATCATATTCAGACGGAAATGTTGCGGAGCACTTCACCATTATAAGGACACTGCGGAAGAATACTTATATGCAATCACATCAACGAATATATGAATAAATTTATTAGATACTGCATTCATTACAGTTTTGAATCACTCTTCGTGAAATAATTGACTGGTTCTAACATTTATGTGATTAAAATACCACTTAATTATTTAGTTAATAACTTTTGAGTTGAACGATTCTATGAACCGAATTCGTACCAAAGCAATCAACACCACTGATTTGAAGTTGCAGTTTCACTCAAGGTGAACGCCTTAGTTAGAATACAATTTAAAGCATATAGTAGTAGTACATTGGCGGTTCAGCGACCGATTGCTCAGTAACAATCCACGTGGCTCTGGTTCCATCCTCAGTCGACGCACATCTAAACCTCGCCTAGCCGGTGGTTAGCTATTTAGCGTAAAGCTGGCAACCCTGTCCCAAGTCCCAAGGATTCAAACTTGAAGTCTTATGTTCAACTCGTCACTCAAAGAACAAAACATGTGCAATAAGTTTCAAATTTCATGAGAGACGCTATCGAAAACCGAGAATGGTTAAAGAATCAAATGAAAACCAAGATACGTTGGTAGTGTATGTCATTAAAAGGCGAATTCTAGGAAATAAATGCTACTTGGTAGGCTTTTCCAGCATTCGGTTAATTGAGTTTTATTACCAACAAGTGAAATGTGATGACATCCGTTTGTAATAAAACTAAACGACAAATACATCTTAACCAGCATAGATTTACAGAGTTCAGCAACACTCCATTTCAAAAATATACTTTAATGGAAAATACCATATTAGAGTTCAAAGAAAATCTCACCATGATAAATGTTCATAAATTAAGAGACATGCTCTACCCCTCCCCCCTTCATGCTTGAGTTCTTTAATTACAACGAGTAACAGATAAAGCACTATATAAACTGCAGACCAAAGTATCAATTAACTAACAAAAAGTAAAGTTCATATATATATATATATATATATTAGAGCTCAGCACAATATAACCCTCCCTTAGCTGAATTAGTTGTGTAATGTGACATCCTGAAAGTAGCCATGAAATTAGATTTTAAACTTTTCAGCACTCATATCCGAAACTTTAAGAAAACACACTTCATCTCAATGATTCATACTCACGTCAGCTGAAAAAAAGACTAGTGACTTCACCGTGGACATAAACCATAATATTTAGTTTTCGTAATGTTTCAGTAATGTTATACTAATTAATCCATAAAGATCCCTAGTGTAGGCTCCTTCTTTTGAAATGATTTCAAGCATACATGGTGGAATGGAATATAGCGTTCTGACACCTTTTTAAACTAACTACAGTCTAGAAACCTGGGCATATAACTATGTCATATTTGTGGAAACCAAACTAATACGGTTACGAAGAATATAACTTGTGCAGTTTTTTCAGTAACCATTTTCAAAAATCTCTTTTGCGTTCTGAGTGGAAATTAGGTACTCAAAGTTTTAAAGTTTCAGTAACTGTGGAACTGTTTTGCTTACAGGATAGGCGCTAGTCTATACTCAACCTTTACGTGGACTGACCAATACTTGAATTATCACAGCTTTGCAATTGCTATACACCTAGCTGACACCGAACGTACAGTGGAAATTAGTCAGGCTTTCAAAATAATTATTACAGGAAGAAAAACATGATTACTCGGGTTCGCAGAAGCCATTGGCATTAAAAGACTTCGACCAAACCTCTGTATACAGAAAGACAGAGTAACTAGTCTGTCACTACCCTGGTGACCTTGACTGTTTTCTTCGTGTGCTTTTGTGTTTTGTTCTGTTGCGTAATATTTCATTTAATTTAGATTTTGACTTGCACTTATTCAGTTGAAAACAGTACTAAGTTTCTAAGTCTGCAAAATTATTTTGTCTATCTTACTTTACTATTCACTCCCACCCACTTGAACTCTCCGTCATAATTTGTATAAATAAACTCCATTGTTCGATCTTGTATTCTGTCTCTAGTCCATTCTTGTTTCCACTTGTCCAATTATATCGGTGGTTACTCTTTTAACACTGAATAATCCCTCTACTTAGATCATTATTTGAATTATGTTGCCTATACTTTCTATCTATAACTCGTGGTCATTGTGGGAAAGTATGTTGGGAAATTTTGTAACTTAAAATGATTTTGTGTAGGATGTACACAGTTGAAGGACATCAACGAAATAAAACGAGCTTGTTTTATCCCGCAAATAGGTTCATTCATTGGGAAACACAAAAACCTTCATTATAATGAATATCATATACCCAATGCCCAAATTTTTTCAAACTGTTAAAAGTGAACTTGGTTTGGACATATATAAGGTTCGTTCTTTCTTTATTCAACCTTTACTGTTTAAGGGTCTGACTATCGGGTTGGTGTCGTTTACAACTGTGTCGGCCACGAGTTGAACCCAGATCTTCCATGCGGCTGGAGAGCATCTCTACCAGTTAACCACTGACGTGAATACGTTAAAGCATCAAACAAAATAATTCAAACCCACTTACTATGTTCAGTAATATGAAGGGTTCACTTATCGTTTAAAGTACTCTCCACACTTTAGCTCAAGTATCTCTAGTATAAAATAGATGTAAAGAAAAATTATAATTTAAATCTTATAACAATTACCAGTTTTCAGATCACTGTTTGTATCTGTGTTGCGAAAATAATTATGAACTCTGACAAACAATTGCTTCAGTGATCTTAAACTCCAATTTTTTGTAAACCCTTATATATATGTATCAATAGATTAACGAATTTATTATCTAATCAGATAACTTATCCGGACTAAGAAACACCGGTAATACTGTTAGCGTACACACAGAGAATTGTGTGACAGGTCACAAAAGCAATTAAGTAACCAAAACACGTCTTAAATCATAAATTTATCGTTTGTTTTATTCAGATTATCGATCTTTATGACTAGTAATTTCACACCTTTAAGTAATTAAAATAGAATTCTTTAATAGTTAAACACTGGAACAGTTAAAACAAAGCTGTTTTTATTTGACTGTCATAAAAACGGTAGAAATAAGAATTAAAACTGCTCCAATATTAGTTTGGAACTCATCGGCAGTACATATCCACTAGGTGTCGAACCGAGGACTTTCCGGTTACAAGACGAGTTTGCATATCATTCAGCCACTGGGATCCGACTCAATGGCTAGTCCATGAACTCTAACTTCTACCAATTTGTGATGATTTAGCGCTACCACTAACCAATGTCATAGGTAGAAACTCCATCCTCACTCCCGACTGGATGCCCCCCATCGGTCACATATAATACTCCATAATATAGTCCTACTCATGTCAACTTTAACTGCACTTACCACTACACATGCGCTTGAGGTACCAAGTACATACGAAGAAATAAGAAGAGAGCATCTACTAAACTTTCTGAGTATATCCTCAACAACTGCAAGTACAATCCCTAAACACCTGACTGACATGAGACTTACAGTGAAAAGTGAAAAATAATTCTCAGTCACTAGATTAAGGAGAAGGACGGGAAACGATGAGCTGGGCGTGAATTCGACGGTGACATTGAGGAGATCAAGTGAAAGGGAAATAAAAGCTTATGAGGAATTGTGAAGTCAGTTTTAAAAGACTTCAGAGTACAGAGTGAAACGAAAATGTCGTGATGAATCCCTGTGCTTCACTCGGAACCAAAGGGAATAATAATAACAATAGTACTGCATAACAGTATTTAGTCAGTCGACCTGTCTATGTGACTGTTAATTAATCTAAATTAAACTCAATAAATCAAATAACTGGTGACCGAATGGCTTGATATTAGAAGAAATAATTTAGAGAATGCACAAATTTGATGTTGCAGTGAAAACAATGTATCCATTCACCAAATTCGTTACATTATATTAAACAGATAGAGCACTGATATAGTCGATAGTTGGATAGCTTCCATTTTATGCTAACTTTAAGTGCGACAGGCAGATCAACAAAGAGAGGGGGTAAGGTGTTCCAAAAAACTTGAGACTCAAAAGTTTAATTGTCATGGATCGTGTATCCGTCCAAAATAATCAGCGAACACATAAACTTCCCCTTAGATGGTTGGTTGGAGGCACCCTTCACCAAGGCAATGACGAGTGCCAACTAGCATGAAACTTAGGTCCAAAGCTTCCTGCCGATTGCCACCAACCATCTAAAATCATCAAATCAATTTGCACGGTGACGCCGAGCTACCTAGTGGCATGGTGGCCACATTGCAAACCTGACTGATAGAATTCAATCTGCACCATTCAATCTACACCAAAGAAAAGACTAGACACATCACACTAGTTACTAGTTTCCAGTCGAACTTCCCCCTATTAGTTAAAATTTCGTACTTTTGTATATGTTTTAACTCAGATAACAGTATTTATATTTTGACAAAATCAGATCTCTGAATCGATACAGAGTCAGTTTCGACTTCTAACTGCTACTGCAGAATGTTAACATAAAGTTAGCACCAATCTGTTTTCGTCATATTTACGTAATCTCTGATGCAAAGTTTTCATATTCAGAAAAAGTCTATTAGCATCAGCTTTCTTTCCTTTACTTACATTTTCAAAATATACATCTGTATAACCTGCTAAATAGAGTACTACTCAATGACGCTTTCAACGACTATCTCAATGATTTTTTTAAAGCCATCCAGATTAGTGCATCCTCTGTCACTGATTTCTTCATTGGGAGATCTCTTGAAGCATTTCAATATTCTGTTTGACATGCTATGAAAATTATTCCCGCCTTAAGAACCGCTGGACAGTCCCAACGAAATAAAATTGCTTCAGTCGTTGTTCCTGTCTTACTAAAATGTAATCGACAAGCGACCTCTTCGACATTCAGTGATACAATACATTGAGTTTTGAAAAAATAACAAAAACAATAAGACCAACTTACTAGGTAAAGCCACAAATTTAACTCGATTAACTCAGGTGAGAAACTGTTTTCGAGATGAGCTAAAATATTAAATTTTTATTTGACTATATTTCGAGCATTTTGCATAAAACGCTACCAATCATGTGACTGTATTTTAGGTGTCCTTGAAGTTCTCTGCTATTTACGTGAATGGCTGCATTTCAACGGCCTTGGCACTTACTTAAGCTATACTGTTACCCAGAGTTAGTAGAAATGTGTGGGTGTGTGTTGATTTGCAGTATTCTGACAATATTTCGATGTTTACCCCTAAAATTTAAATAAATATTCTCACAACTTAAGACAGAATAATTGAATAACATTGGATAAATATCCCATTCGCTTTGAAATATGCAAATGCTCAAAGGGGAGAGACTGTGAACAAGTATTGAGATGAGGAAACCATTCCTTTCTGAGGAGCTGAGATTGCAACAGAGCATTCGTCACAAGACTGACTAAATGTGTAAACGTATAATTTACTTTATCATAAAGGTAGTTCAACACACACCATCTTTAACTGGTAAAATTGCATATGAATACATCATTGATAAAGCACACTGTGTGTGTGTCGGTGGCACAGCGGTGGAATGCTAGCCAACCACTCATGTGGTCCGGGGTTCGATTCCTGGCAAACGCATTTCTTTACCTTGCTAAGGCAGTAATAAGGCTGGTAGAGAAGGAAGGTTGAGCATGAGACTAGCAACCCCATCTTGTAAAAATAAACTTCACTGCTACCGAAACTTTAAGCCTCTAGCTTGAAGCCCTGTTTTCCACTGGTAACATAAAGGAATAATTAAAACAATTAGTCCCTTTGATAAATTTGAATAAGGCATTAAGAAGACAAATTTCGCGAGATGATATCTTCATTCCGTAGTTTCTTTACAACCGCTTTACAACTAGATGGTCAACAGTAATAAAATAAGGATCATGACAATTACTCAGTTAGATAAAAAAACAAAAGTACATACTAATGACCAATCATATTTAGATAGGTCATGTTGTCCATGGTAGGCGAAGATTGAAGTCTATTGTTTTTTGTACACACAGTTTAGCCTGTATGTGATTAATCCAAAGTGCTTTCATCACCTTCAATAACCTTGAATTAGGGTTATGTGAAATAACTGTGCAACAGTCATTAATGTTGATTTTGTGACCTGACATTAATAAGTGTTTTGCAATGGATGATGCTGGATTTCTATGCGTCGGTGGCACAGTGGTTAGGACTCAAGCCGACCATGCACATGGTCCGAGGTTCGATCCCCCGCCGACGCACACCTGATATCTATGGTCGGCCTGCTAAATTTGGGCTACCGATATCACATGCTGAAAATTTCATACTTGTACCAAAATACTGTGTGGAATTAATCTATAATAAAAAAAATTAACCTACCATTCAAGGGTGACCAGATTATGCACTTGACAGCTCAAAGACTTCGGTCAGCCATCAAACGCACATTCTACACCGCATCTCTTTTTCTCATTTGCCGAACATTTTCGATCCCTGTACCTGCGATTAAAGGATGAAATTCTATGGACTCTACTTGAAACTGTATCTACAAGTTCACCTGCAGTTGCAGTGACATCTTTATAGGTAGAACCAATAGAATATTCCAATGTCGTCAAAAAGAACATGTTCCGAAATGGCTACTAAATCATATAGAAAATCCCAACGCGATTAATCTGAGTAGAAATCCAGCATCATCCATTGCAAAACACTTATTAATGTCAGGTCATAAAATCAACATTAATGACTGTTTCACAATTATTTCATCACAGAACTCGAATTCAAGGTTGGTTATTGAAAGTGATGGAAGCACTTTGGACTAGTCACATACAGCCTAAACTGTGTGTACAAAAAACAATAGACTTCAATCTCCGCCTACCATGGACAACATGACCTATCTAAATATGATTAGTATGTACTTTTTTTCTTTTTATTTAACTGAGTAATTGTCATGCCCTTTATTTTATTTTATTATTGTTAACCATGTTAGTTGTAAAGTGGTTGAGAAGAAACTACGAAATGATATCATCTCGCGAAATTTATCTTCATAAAGGAATAAGAAAAAGTACTCTACTATTTTGCAATCAAACTTCAACTTTATTATTATCCGCTGTTGTGTATTCATGACATTCACAGTTACAGGTAACCGAGTGACACTGTTTCCAATTAACACAAAGTAACCGAAGCTGCCTTTTGTAGCAAGTCATGAAGCTGTGCATTTTGCTTCTAGGGCGGCAACATGAACGCTATACAATGCCTTAAGTCAATATTGGAAAATAAATAACAAATGACGTTATAAACTCCAGCAATAGTCAAAGTTTCATTCTCATCAGTCTGGAGATGAGTTGACAAAAATGAAAATACCTGATTTTTTAAACTCTAGGTGAGATTTAGTCCGACGACAAGAGTTCATGAAATTTCACGATATCAGTGAATGAGGAAATCGAAAAGCTTATTTATGCACTTGCAAAATAAATAACTGTGAGTCAATTATAATTCTGGTTGAAAGACAGGGCTCCAGTAGAACGAACGTCTTAATTTTATTCTGTCCTCTTCAGCCCTGTAAGACTGGCTATATTATTATTATGGCTATTGTTCCCTTGGGTTCCTAGTGGAACATAGGTCTTCAACTGCACGTCTCCACTTGCTTCTGTCTTCTCCTGTACTTTTCACCTGCATCCATGTTAGTCCATACTGTTTCAACTCCTCTTCACATGATCTCCTCCATGTCACCCACACTCGGACGTCCCACTCGCCGCTTCCCTTTCAGGTTCCACTCGAGTACTGGCCTGACACGCGATGTCACCCAACGGCCTCCTCAGCGAGTGTCCAATCCATCCATCTCCACTTTCTCCTGCATATTTGTTGGCCAATTGGTTCTTGCTTTGTTTGTTCCCATAGTTTATTGTTGGTTCTTGTTCTTTCCCGCCATCTGATCTTCAGTATAGAACGAAGACAGTTGTTGTTGATAAAAGTCTGCAACAGGCTGTTGGAAATATTCTTTGTGACCCGCCAAGTTTCTGATCCGTATAGAACAACTGACTGACTTGACGTTTGTATTGAAAATCCGAATCACTTTGTTGTTGATGATGCTGAGTGACGAAGATTTCCAGATTGGTTTCAGGTTGATGAATGTGTTTCTCGCCTTCCTGATTCTCGATTTGACATCTTCGTCCGTTCCTTCCTGTAGTTGAGACAATGCTCCCTAGATAAGTGAATGAAGTTACCTCTTTCGAATCCCTCCCGTTGATGGTGATTGGCGGTGGATGTTGCTGATACTGTTGTTGTTGTTGGTTGGTTATTTTCATAACCTCCGTCTTGTCTATGTTCACCTGGAGTCCTGTCTTCACTGGCTGCTTCTTCGACCAGTTTGTCGGTTTTCGCTAGTAGGTCTTCGATTTTGTGTGACATTAAACATAAATCATCCACGCGCGAAATCCAGGTCTTCTAGATTCTTCACTTCACGTCGGTCCAGGATATCCCTTTCTTCTCGTTTCCCACTGTCTGACGCATAATCCAGTCCACCACAATTAGGAATATCATTGGTGATAATAAGCACCCTTGTCTAACTCCTGTGTTTACTCCAAACGCCTCGCTGAGTTTTCCGTTGTGGGGATCACTTGACATATGTCTATAAGCCTTCATCTCTCCCTTATATGATCGCCTTCATGTCACACAAGCATGTCAAACTCTCGTCATTTCTCATTCGGATTCCATTCAGGCTAAGTATTAGAAAATCTGTTAATGTTACATCCGGAGTAGTTAGACAATAAATGAACAACTTCACCATGAAATAATACCTAGCGGAAATATTTTGATGGAGGAACTTTCAGTGTGAAGCTAATTAAATATGTCTTCTAAATCAACAAAAACAAACACTATTCAATAGGGCGAGGGCTCTTTGCAGCACTCACATCTTAGGAAAAACTGAAGAAGGATATCTCGTGGACGTCTCCCAAAAGAATGGATATCCACAGAATTTCATCAAGAGACATCTACCCCGAAGCCAACCTCCCATATCAAAGGCCCTCCCAAGTAAAGCACAGAGAAAATCACCCTACCACATTCAAAGCACATCTCAGAAATCGCTGCGGGATTCTTCAAACCTTTATGAATTAACGTCGTGCACAAACCAATACAACACTTCACTCAGTTCTATGTCAACCAAAAGACTCAACAACGAAGGAAGATAAAACCAGCATCATCTAGAAAATGAATTGTCACAACTGCGAAAACACTACACTGGCCTAAGTGGACATTCCCTTCGCCTTCGCATTCATGATCATAAACTAGCCGTCAAAAGACACGACATTCACTCCCTCATATCACTGCATACAGACAACCATGGAAGTCAATTCGACTAGGAAAATGTTCAAATATTAGACAGAGGAAACACCAAGAATGCTGGAGAAGTTTTAGAAGCCTGGTATTCCAGTGAATCGTCAATCAATGGACACATCGAAATAGATAAAATTTATCAATCAAATAGAAGGAAGCTTATTATCACCAATGATATTCCTAATTGTGGTGGACTGGATTATGCGTCAGACAGTGAGAAACGAGAAGAAAGGGATATCCTGGACCGACGTGAAGTGAAGAATCTAGAAGACCTGGATTTCGCGCGTGGATGATTTATGTTTAATGTCACACAAAATCGAAGACCTACTAGCGAAAACCGACAAACTGGTCGAAGAAGCAGCCAGTGAAGACAGGACTCCAGGTGAACATAGACAAGACGGAGGTTATGAAAATAACCAACCAACAACAACAACAGTATCAGCAACATCCACCGCCAATCACCATCAACGGGAGGGATTCGAAAGAGGTAACTTCATTCACTTATCTAGGGAGCATTGTCTCAACTACAGGAATTCGGAACGGACGAAGATGTCAAATCGAGAATCAGGAAGGCGAGAAACACATTCATCAACCTGAAACCAATCTGGAAATCTTCGTCACTCAGCATCATCAACAACAAAGTGATTCGGATTTTCAATACAAACGTCAAGTCAGTCAGTTGTTCTATACGGATCAGAAACTTGGCGGGTCACAAAGAATATTTCCAACAGCCTGTTGCAGACTTTTATCAACAACAACTGTCTTCGTTCTATACTGAAGATCAGATGGCGGGAAAGAACAAGAACCAACAATAAACTATGGGAACAAACAAAGCAAGAACCAATTGGCCAACAAATATGCAGGAGAAAGTGGAGATGGATGATTGGACACTCGCTGAGGAGGCCGTTGGGTGACATCGCGTGTCAGGCCAGTACTCGAGTGGAACCTGAAAGGGAAGCGGCGAGTGGGACGTCCGAGTGTGGGTGACATGGAGGAGATCATGTGAAGAGGAGTTGAAACAGTATGGACTAACATGGATGCAGGTGAAAAGTACAGGAGAAGACAGAAGCAAGTGGAGACGTGCAGTTGAAGACCTATGTTCCACTAGGAACCCAAGGGAACAGTAGTAATAAGGAGAAAAAAGAAACCTCACACACACACAGAGGGCTAAACTTCAGGTCAAGGAAACAATCACTATACTAAAACAAGTAGCCTAGAGGGTGTGAAAAAATACCAAAACAACCAATCACGTTCACTGTCACCAGGAGAGATGACTAATAGACTCGTGGAGAAATCTGAAAGCTCAATTCAAATTGAAGTATGCCCTGAAGATGTTGCCTAGCAGGACAATGAAGGCTTCACAAATAAACCATCCAGCTCAGAGAACACAACAATATCAAAATCATCCACCTGAGCTACAGATCTTCGTCATCATATCTAAATCAATCAGCACCCTCAAAATAAATTCAGAAATATTTACGAATAATTCATGAAAACGTCCCATCTGAACATTAATTAAAACAAGACAAAAGGTTCAGCAAAGAGGGTCTTGCCGCTTCAGCTGAACAATCGCATTTATATACAATCCACTTTTCACAAAAGAGGATAATAACAAAAGTGATGAGTTGTCAACACACATAGCTGCTTATGTTAGCCAGTTCATAAAAACAGTTGCCAAGACTTCGTATCTGACCACTTCTCTGTGCATATATCAGTTCACCTGTTACTGTGGAGTCAGGTATATAGGTCTTTCGATGTCTACATCATCTAAGAGGGTTCAAGAACGCCATCCCGCATGGTTGTAGAAAGTCATCATTATGACCTCTGATAAACAGTGCGATAATCTGACAGCTTGTCAACACTGGCCAGTCCATCTCAATAAATGCCTCCTTCAGAGTAATCTACAAAGCAAAGAGTAACCTGCCAAAGTCATTACGTTTAGATCCCTTCCATGATCTGGCTGGCGAGCACTACTCGTTGATATGTGAGTGGTATCAAACTACTGAAATCAGCCAGTCAGTAGTATAAGACACTCATTTCAGTCACTTTCTAAAAAATTTTAAATATTTAGTGAAAAAAAACATTCAAATTGTCATCTTCTGAGAAAACAAACTAGATGATGATCCTCATGATGATGGAATTTTTCAAGGTTATTTGCACTAAATGACGTGCTACAATTGAATTTTTTAATTTAAAGATATGCATTACGATGTATGTTAACACCTACTCAGCGAATACTCTCTTCATCACACGACAAAACACTCATCTTAGCGTGTGATCAACATACACAAAGCCTTAACAGCCATACTGCATAGCACAAAGTCGCTACTTTAATCTCCCGAAACCATAATCGATTTCACTGTCTGATTTTAATTCAACTTAGACGTCAAACTCCAAATTTTTTCTTTCTTTCTTTCTGATCAATGAATGGGCTCTGCTGAGTTGAGTGCGTAGTTTTTAATAAATTTGAACAAATTATTATTCAGTATGTCTCATGTGGTCCTCAATCATCACCATATATAAACATAGAGTGCATAGATTTGCACACCCACATGTTTTCATCATCAAATCATATGGAACTCTTTACTAAAAAGGACAAGCGTCTAGTTATTTTTCTGACTCATCTCTCACATGTCTGCTGAAAGCAAATATCACGCAAAAAAAGAGCGATGTTCAATTAATCATGACGATGAGCACCATGCATCATCAGTTTATTTATTACGTCATCGGCACGTTGCCTACATTTGCTAATTTGTAATCTATCTATGAATTACAGTCTGAATTAAAAATCACAGTCCATTGGTTAACATTTATGTTGATGCATGATGTGTAATTTGTGCGTGCGTGTGTGTGTGTGTGTACAAACAGACCTTCACATTCCTGCATGATAATGTAAAACTTTGCAATTTTTTGAATAATAAACACTGAGCACAAACAATCAACCGAAGTGTGTGTGTGTGTGTTTGATTGGATGGTTACAACAACAACCTACATTATACTCCTAAAAAAAAACTCAGAAGTGATGCATTAAAAGTGCTTTCACTTTCACCTGAAGAAGACAAGTGATGAATAGTGTCTAGAAAATTGTACAACCACTTTTAGACGAAGAAGAAGAAAATTATCTACGATTATTACTGGGAACAAAACTCTGACAAAATCAAATGGACAGGAGAGCACTGATTCAAAAATTCCATCAAATGGATAAAAATGGTGATGGTTATTTAACAGCTGAAGAAATTCGTATTTGTGTGAAACGTTCTGGACTGCCGGAAAAGCAAGTGGATGTAAGTGTTGTCTTCTCTTTTTTTTCTGTGTTATAACCGATCCACAACAATGCATTTATGAGCATAAAATGTTTCTGATAGTCGGTTATTCCAGGAGACAGTGATCTAGGAAAGTGTGTACGGTTGATTTGTGTTCAGTGCTTGGGCCTAGTCACATGTCGCCTAATTCTTTGTGAAAACAATCCTTGATCAGATATTTGTTGTCATGTTATTCTGTGAGCGAAGCTTCTATTGTTCTAATAGAGAATCGTGGAAAGTAACCGTCAGGACTTTAGAGAGAGGAAAACAGAAGAAGCTCAGTAAAGATATCTTTTCGGTGATTTCATACTCAAAGGCTGTATAATCATATTTTATACAATAATTGAGATAGTTACATTTATTAATAAATTCAGTATAGTAATGAAGGAAGATTAAAGGAGATAATACTTTTTCAACTTGATATGATGAGCCAGTTGAGATGCCGTGACAGCTGTTGGCCTGGTGTTCAATTATGTCTCTCTTCTGATTGAATCAGTGCCTCCTCTTTGCAGGCATGATAAGTAGTGTTCCGTAAAGCGTTTTGAAAGGACGTGCACAGACCAACCTATGTACCTAGCTCCACAGGGGTGGGTGAATCGCTATAAATGGAGAAGCTCTATAACTAGAAACCACGCCAGCACTTTTCACAGTATCACAACTGATTTGATATTAGATGTGGCTGGTTCAACATCGGCCACTCATGAAGTGAGACTCCTAGCAGCGCTTGTAACATGATGATTAATTTCATTTGGTGTCGTAATAAGTGACCTTCTTCGTCCGATTGTTAACAATTTCATCAGATGGAAATCACTACTTTTGATTGGAAACTAGCTATTAACTAGTTTGATATGTCTAGTCCTTTATTTGATGCAGACTGAATTCTATCGTAACTATGACCAAGGTAAAGAAAGGGGTTTAACAAAACGTCTTTGAACACATAATTTAGGTTTCTGTCCATGTATAGCTAGAGCTTCGGTTATGCACAAATGGAGAAAACGTAAGCTTTTTTGAGTGATTGGATTCGGTTCTGTAAATAACTTTGAAGGATAAATCACTTGGGGCTGACTGACATGACTCCAGAATGTGTTCACAAATTGAAGACTTTGTCGTCCTTTGTTCACCTTTCATTAACCGAACCGGGTGGTGTTCAGCCACCTGTTTACGGAGAATACGCTTACAACACCCAGTGTAATCAGCACCAGTTTTGCCGTGGAGAACTTAGATAACCAAAAATTTCGCTGTTGTGTATCAGATTTTTAAATATGCTTTTGAAATAACCTGTTTACTAGAAGCATGTGACAAATCTAAAACCCCACTAAGCAGTATTCATTTCACTAGAAGATGATTCCTTTGCGGGACATAACTGGAAAAGAGGCAACATATTCCTCTGTAAATATCATTCACGCTCTGAACAACACTCATTTATTATTTCAATTCTTTTACCCACTTCCAACTGACGAACAACTGCTGGGATCTAACTAGTGAATCTGCAATAATTATGGCTCTTACACTATGATAATTGATAGGCAAACATGTTTCACAGTGTAATTTCTGCATAAGATGACTTAAGGAATGTTTATGTATCAGTTCAATCACTCCTGCGAAGACAGTTATATTCGCCGCTGCTCCAAGGACGGAGTTTATAGCACCTAAGAACGCCTACCAGATAAAGTGAAAAACAGCAATTCAACATTAGCTCACCTGGTCAAAACAGGCAATAAAGCTAAGAAAGCAAAATCTTTTTCTATTCTCTGTCAGGCACCAAATAAATTCAGACATTAAAAAGATAAAAGGAAATTTGAGGAAAACATATTCTTTGCGATAATTTCCTCTTCTTGCTCAACAATTATATAGATATATATACAGAATAAGCTAGAATAATCGTCGTTAACAATATTGTCGTTTTTAAATAATATCGATTTGTCAAGTAAGATCACAATGGAATGTCAGTTCAAGAAAGATGCATAAATTCTAAAAAACATAAAAATGTAATAGCAAATAGAATATCAAATAAAATTGAGGAAATTTTCACAACACACTGAGGATCATCAGAACCTTGATGGCCAAAGTAAGGACAGTGTCTGAACAAATTTCTTTCGGATACATAAATTAAGCTTCTTAATATGGATCTCAACGGCCTTCCAATATGTAGCAGTAGTTGGTATACCGTAAATGACTTTGGAAGAAGCCTTGTTAACATCAATCTTGTATTCTGTATACACGAGATGAAATAGTATAGAACTATGAATGGATTTTGTTTGTCCCTTACTCAACCACTCACTATGCAGGATGGTGTTCGGAAATCCAACCATAAGCACGCCTAATTGTACGGCCTATGAAACTAGGTGGCTCCACAGGAGCAATCAGATGTGGAGATGCACATAGAAGAGCCGAAATTAGGCAGTTTATCTTTTACTCCCGAACGCAAAACCATTAGGTTTTGAAGACACAGCGTAATTCAGCAGCATAGAATGCTCTTTTTACCGCATTTCTAAGGTGTTGTGTTAATATTTCGCTGATGTTGTCCCCGAGGAACTGCATTTGTAAGAATAAGGCCTTTTTAGGAACTGTCGGTACCTTGTCTCGCTTTGATTTTAAATTCATATTCTTATCAATAAACTTTTCAGGATAACCATTTTCACTCACCAACCGTTTAATATTATTAAGCTCCTCAACAAGACGTTCATCCGAGCAGATTGCTCTTGCTCTGTGGACCAAGCACTTTATTGCATTGCGTTTGTATTTCAAGGGCAAAAAGCTGAGAAAATGTTTGTACTGGCCCCTTGATGTAAGCTTTCTATAAACACTTCTTCTTATTGCGCCATCCTCTTTTCTGGTCATCAGGACGTCTAGAAATGAAATGCTAGAGTCTTTTTCTTTCTCAATAGTAAAATTTATTGCAGAATCCATTCTAGCCGACATTTTCATTGCGAAACTAGAAAATGAACCTTTTAAGGATGTTATTAATGAACTTGAATTCTATTGTCGGCACATGGATGATACGTCTTTGATTATGAAAAAAGAGAAGGAAGCAAAGAACATCCTGGATAAATTTAACGAGGTTCATCCTGCAATACATTTTATTATTGAGAAAGAAAAAACTCTAGCATTTCATTTCTAGACGTCCTGATGACCAGAAAAGAGGATGGCGCAATAAGAAGAAGTGTTTATAGAAAGCTTACATCAAGGGTCCAGTACAAACATTTTCTCAGCTTTTTGCCCTTGAAATACAAACGCAATGCAATAAAGTGCTTGGTCCACAGAGCAAGAGCAATCTGCTCGGATGAACGTCTTGTTGAGGAGCTTAATAATATTAAACGGTTGGTGAGTGAAAATGGTTATCCTGAAAAGTTTATTGATGAGAATATGAATTTAAAATCAAAGCGAGACAAGGTACGGACAGTTCCTAAAAAGGCCTTATTCTTACAAATGCAGTTCCTCGGGGACAACATCAGCGAAATATTAACACAACACCTTAGAAATGCGGTAAAAAGAGCATTCTATGCTGCTGAATTACGCTGTGTCTTCAAAACCTAATGGTTTTGCGTTCAGGAGTAAAAGATAAACTGCCTAATTTCGGCTCTTCTATGTGCATCTCCACATCTGATTGCTCCTGTGGAGCCACCTAGTTGCATCGATCGCACAATTAGGCGTACTTATCGTTGGATTTCCGAACACCATCCTGCATAGTGAGTGGTTGAGTAAGGGATAAACAAAATCCACTCATAGTTCTATACTATCTCATCTCGTGTATACACGACACAAAATTGATGTAAACAAGGTTTTCAAAGTCATCTACCGTATACCAACTAATCTAACCTCAAGAGTTCATCTGCTACATATTGGAAGGCCGTTGAGATCCACATTAAGAAGCTTAATTTATGTATCCAAAAGAAATTGGTTCAGACACTGTCCTTACCTTGGCCATCAAGGTTCTGATGATCCTCAGTGTGTTGTGAAAATTTCCTCAAATTTAGTTGATATTCTATTTGCTATTACATTTTTATGTTTATTACAATTTATGCATCTTTCTTGAACTGACATTCCATTGTGATCTTACTTGACAAATCGATATTATTTACAAACGCCAATATTGTTAACGACGATTATTCTAGCTTATTCTGTATATATAGACATATATATATATATATATTAATTGTTGAGCCAGAAGAGGAAATTATCGAAAAGAATATTCTTTGCTCAATGGTTAGTTTTTCTGCCAAATTTTTGCCGAAAGCTTCATGTTAATGGAAACTCTAAGATTCAGAGATCATTGCTGTTCATTTGAAACACTCAGAATTATGAATGCAGAAGAAATATATCAGTTTACTATTACTATCTTGGTCTGCTGTGGAATCTAGAAATTCATAATTATGGTATTGGTGTGACTACCTTGCATCCTGATCTCGGTATCAGTTCCCCCATTCCTTATCATTACACTTTCATAAACAAACCGTTTTTTTCTCTTTTACTTATACTTATACTTACAATCATCGGTGTGAAATTTGCAATCATTGTGAATAGAATTCAATTTGAACATCACTATATTGCTGACTATTATTCATGATCATTTACTTTGGATTATTATTATTATTGTTCCCTTGGGTTCCTAGTGGAACATAGGGCTTCAACTACACGCCTCCACTTGCTTCTGTCTTCTGCTGTACTTTTCACCTGCATCCATGTTATTTCATACTGTTTCAACTCCTCTTCACACGATCTCCTCCATGTCACACTTGGACATCCCACTCCCTTTCGGGTTCCACTTGAGCATCGGCCTGACGCGCGATGTCACCCAGTGGCCTCCTCAGCGAGTGTCCAATCCATCTCCACTTTCTCCTGCATATTTGTTGAGCAATTGGTTTTTGTTTTGTTCGTTCCCATAGTTTCTTGTTGGTGATTCTTTCTGGCCATCTGATCTTCAGTATAGAGTGAAGACAGTTGCTGTATAAAGGTCTGCAACAGGCTGTTGGAAATATTCTTTGTGACCCACTGGCCAAGTTTCTGATCCGTATAGAAGAACTGACTGACTTGACGTTTGTATTGAAAATCCGAATCACTTTGTTGTTGATGCTGAGTTGAGTGACGAAGATTTCCAGATTGGTTTCAGGTTGATGAATGTGTTTCTCACCTTCCCGATTCTCGCTCGATTTGACATCCTCGTCCGTTCCTCCTGTAGTTGAGATAAGTAAGTGAATGAAGTAACCTCTTTCAAATCCCTCCCGTTGATGGTGATTGGCGCTTGATGTTGCTGCTGTTGTTGTTGTTGGTTGGTTATTTTCATAACCTCCGTCTTGTCTATGTTCACCTGGAGTCCTGTCTTCTCTGGCTGCTTCTTCGACCAGTTTACTGGTTTTCGCTTGTAAGTCTTCGATTTTGTGTGACATCAAAGATAAATCATCCACGCGCGAAATCCAGGTCTTCTAGGTTCTTCACGTCGGTCCAGGATATCCCTGTCTTCTCGTTTCCCACTGTCTGACGCATAATCCAGTCCACCACAATTAGGAATATCATTGGTGATAATAAGCACCCTTGTCTGACTCCTGTGTTTACTCCAAACGCTTCGCTGAGTTTTCCGTTGTGGATCACTTGACATGTTTCGTTGTCGCACAGCTGTTGAATAAGTTTGATGAATATTTGGGGTACGCCGTAGTACTCGAGTAGTTTCCAAATTACTTCACGGTCAACTCTGTCGAAGGCCTTCTCAAAGTCTATGAAGTTGAGGTAGAGGTTTGATTGCCATTCCATGCTTTGTTCGATGATGATACTTTGGATTACTGGTATTTAATTTTGGTGTTACATTTGTGCATATTGCCACATGCACATTCTACTATTTGCATATAACTCCTTGCATTTTGATGTCATCGACTCGATATCATTGAAAAAGGAATGTTAATGTTGTCAATAACAATAATCCCTTAATTATTATGCACATCATATTTGTAGAACCTGATAAAGTTTTTGAAAAGAATATTCTTTGTTCACTCAGCAAAACAAGAAAAAAAATGGATTCCAACGTCAACACAACACTGTATTTTACAGGAGAATAGAAACATGATATTACCGAAGAACACTTGTCAATCAGTCAGTCAGTGTGTATGACTATGATCTTCAGTTTTCCTCTAACCAGTTCACTGGATTATTTATTGATTTCTGTTGCTACCTAGATTCATCCATCACATGACAACTACACGTCTAAAAATTAAATCTTCTCTTTTTTTCTTCCTCTGCTTGTTTTTCTTTTGATCTGTGCTGTGTAAAGGAGTTTTTACGGCTATTTGATCTGAGTGGTGATAATGTTGTCACACTACAAGAATATATTTGTGCACTTGGTTTACAGCCTCCACCGCCAAAAGAGTAAGTGTTTACTTTGCTTAATCTTAATTGAGATGTCATTATGTGAATGTGACTCTTACCAGCAGCAACAACAACAAAAATTGTTTTTAATTTTAAGAAGATTTTATTCTATTTTTGACTGATTCACTCACTTCTGCAACACATGTCATGTATGTAGCATAGTATACTTTGTAGTGATGCGATTTCCTTATCAATGTGATCATTTGTCCACTGTAATTGATTTGCCAAAAAGGACTTTGCATTAGTTATTCGCTTCAGATTACTTTATTCCTTTAAGCTCCTAGTGGAACGTAGTAGTGGTGCTTACTTTTTACGGGATAGGGTTGCCAGCCTCATGCCCAACCTTCCCTCTTTGCCAGTCTTATTAATGGCTTAGCGATGCAAAGGAGTGCGTTTGTGGCCGGGGATTGGACCCCGAACCACATGCGTGGTGGTTGACGGACATTCTACCGCTGTGACACCGACACATATTTAATATCAAGTGCAATACAGGTATCGTCTCGCGAGAAAGTAGAACACTGTTTTGCCTGGTAGATATCTCCTGTCACTTCTTCTTTTATTAACTGGCATCACATCTATCCGGAGGCAGATCATCACAGCTTAATTGGTATTTTTATGTGTTAATTAGGCAAATAATTTTTTGTGGCTGAGTGAAACATTAATATTCCTGTTTTCTAGATTCTGTGCAGCTGTACCATGTATGTTTTTATACACAGTTACTAAGCTAAGCAGGCATATTACGCCAGAAATAGGCGTCAAATGTTACGATAATCTCATCATTATTTGTGGCTTCAAATCACAACTAATATAGCTTTGAGATTTGTAAGGGAAAACTACTTCATAATTGACGAATGCTTATTCAGTAAATATTCTTAATAGTATATACACGATATAAACAAACGCAAAAGGTCAGTTCAATTTGCTCAATAATAAAAATTGATACATAGTGATACATAGGTTGTCTAGTAAACTGCACGTAATTCAAATGTTATATAAATCGAAAATATGAGAACTAAGGTAGAGTATAACCCCATCATGGGCAAATTTTTTATCTGGTAAAATGTAGACAACGGTACAGCATTATTTGCTGATGACATTTCGATTACAATGTATTACTGTTCATAATCATATCAAGGCACTTACAATAACTGTCAAACTTTTTTTTTACTTAATTCGATTATATTTTGTTATTTTTGATTTTCACCAGTAGTACTATTTTTCACATCTCCGGTATCACCGTTCCATCACACCTCTATTGCCCGTGTTAGGTGTAGACTCCATGAATAAGGAGTCAGTGACCAATCCCCCCCTCCCGATTCACCTAATATATTTCTTTCTAAAACTGCAGCTCTAGTTCACTGTATTGTGTGATTGTTCACCAGTGCATGCATTACTAATACTTGCTTTTCCTTCATGCTATTCAACATCGCGAAGTCAATATCATTCTACACTAAGCTAAATTTCTATGTTCCAATAATGTAAATGCCTCCAAACTACTGATCTGACCTATTCAGTTGATTTGATCTACAAAATGCTTTGGAACAGCGAACTACACAGCTGAGCCTGCTAATGGAATAAAGTAAAATATCATAGATACATTATTGATTTCCTGACAGTTATATTTCTCAAGAGTCGGTTTGTAAGGATTAGATTTGTTTATACGAGTTTGACCACGGATTGATATCAGTTAGAGAACCATTGAAAACCAGTACTGGAGTACTGGACAGCTGTTTCATCAGCCTAGTTTGGGAATCATCGGCAGTACGCAACCACCACAGGAGGTTCGAACCCAGGACCTTCCGGTTACAAAGCAAGCTAGCTCGTATACCATTCAGCCACTGGGACCCGATTCAATGGCCAGTCTATGAATTCTAACATCTACCAATTCGTGATGCATATAGCACGACCACCAACCAATATGATCGGTGGGACATCCATCCTCACACACTTGACTGGATGGACCTCACTGGTCACGACTTCTCACTAGTACTCCAGGAAACTCCATCCTATAGCAAGTCACTGGTGAGCATCAGATTAATTTTCAAGAGTTTAACCACGGACTGATATCAGTTAGAGAACCATTTGTGGTCGCACTAAATCACGAATTGGTAGAAGTTAGAATTCATGAATTCGCCATTGAATCAGGTCCCAGTGGCTGAATGGTATACGAGCTAGCCTACCTTGTAACCAGAAGGTCCTGGGTTCGAACCTCCTGTGTTGGGTGCGTACTGCCGATGATTCCCAAACTAGACTAGGATGAAACAGCTGTCCAGTACTCCCTGGTTTTCAATGGTTCTCTAACTGATATCAGTCCGTGGTCAAACTCGTATAAATTGTATTTCTATGACTTCTCACATTAATATATGCATTTCTCGATGACTATATATATATATATATTCTTACCAACATGTTTTTATTGAATATATAGAGGCGTTTCTATCATTTCCTACCTACGTTTAACTAATTAACCGCTTTATATCGATACTGAGCATTATTAGTTCATTCTGCAACATATATTGCCCTGAATTGCATGAGAAGCCTAGATAATCACAATTTCATCACATAAAGGCAACTAAATCTATTATTATTTCCTTGGGTTCCAAGTGGAAAATATGGCTTCAGCAGTACATTTCCACTTTCCCTACTTCCCTACAGTCCTCTCCATCTGGATTCACGATTGCCCACGTCTTTTGAAAATTTGTCCGATCCACCTCCACTTTCTCCCATATATTTATTGAGTTGTGGGTTATTCAGTGATTAGTTCCCAGGTTTTCTCGTTGCCATATCTTCCTGGCCTGCCATCTAATATTCAGTATGGGGCCAGAAAAGGCAGCTGCTGATAAATGTTTGCATTAGCCTGTTCCAAATGCTTTTGGTGAAACACCGACTCTCTCAACCATGCGTAAGCTCTAATCAACTTCACACTGGTGTTGAAAATCCGAATCTTATTCTTTATGCTGCAGCGGAGTGCAGAAGATTTCCAAACTGATTTCAGAATGATGAAAAACTGAATGGCTTTGACACCCCTATCTGTGGGACGTGCCTGTAGTTGAAGCGATGCTGCATGGTCAGATAAGTAAAGTCAGGAAATGACCCCTTTCAAATTTCGTCCGTTAATAGTTACTGGTATTGGTTGTTGTTGTTGTTGTAGTTGCTGTTGGTGGTTGGTTATCTTCATCACCTCCGTCTTCGCTTTGCTCACTTGAATTCCTGTCTTCGCTGGCTGTTTCTTCTGCCAGCTTGTTGGTTTTCGCCTGTAAGTCTTCGAGTTTGTGTGACATTTTGACATAAATTATCTGCGGTGTCCAGATTTTCTAGAGTCTTCTTATCAGTCCAACGTATTTCTACCTACTTGCTCCCTGTGCAAAGTCTTTCTTCATAATCCAGTACACCACGATCAGAAATATCAGTAGTGAACAATGAGCAGCTTTGTTTTACTCCTTTTTTTCACTTCAAAAGCTTCTCTGTGTTTATCACTCGACATTCAGCTGAATCTACTACACAACTCTGAGTAGAAATAAAGATATAATCAGTGGTGGCGAGTAGTGCACAGTAATTGTAACCAGAGGGTTGATATTAGTTTGAAGTACACTTTTGCAAGAGTTATAAGTACAACAAAAAAACATCTATGAATTCTCAGTTTATTTACTTTAAACTTGAAAATTCCTAAATAACCCACACGAAAGACCCTTTTTTCACTCAAAATCTCTTGAGAAGTAAAAAACATAAAAACACTGGTGGGTTGGTGAAAACAGTGTGTTACACGCTGCATCACGTAAATAAACTCAGCTTTATTATGTACACTCGATAAAATAGCGAGTCATACGAATGTAAATATTTTTAATATCAAGTTTCATAATGGCCTACTGTAAGAATTTCTGTTGTGTTGCTCTTAAAAGGAAATTTTATCTGACCAATTTTGTTTGCGATATTTAAGATTTCCTGAGAAAGTAAACAACTTCTGTGTTAAAAAACTCTTTGGGTTTTTATGTCACAGCAGCTTATGAGTGAATTCTCCTTCAATTTACAAGAATTCCTGAGGCAAAGTGGCAAATATTGTTAGACCAGGTTCTATACACACACACACAACTGTTTGCACGTTGTAGGTTTCGAGTTTGAAATTTGTTCGACAATGCACTAAACACAATACAATGATAATTTTAACAACAAAAAAAACTAAGTTCCTTCTCTGTATTTGTGACTAAAGGTGATAACCATTGATTAGAGTGATGCTTGCATTCGCAATCAGCCTTACATGCATTTCTCAAAATGATGCAAAGGTCTATATTAAAAATGTTATGGAGTTTGTACTCCTCGAAAAACTAACACCCTCTTTTTTTACAATTAATGTATTTCTATACAGTAAAATAAGACTACTTGTAAGGTAGTTGAAGGAGATTGGTAGAAACCCTCGGACCAAGGTTTCGTACTTGTCGGCACTCATCAGTCAGAAAGGCGTATCTACAGTTTTGAAAGAACTCACGTTCCATAAGATATTCAAACATGAGTTATTCGGAGTTGGGATTGACCTCTTGCAGGAATGTTATGGATATTTTGATTGCACACAATTTATTCACTAGTGTCAAGCGTATACAGACTTAATTCTATGAGAGCGTACCGTTATTGCGTGCCACCTAGCATGGTGGCCGTAATGCGAACTTGACTGAAAGAATTCACACTGCATTAGATAAGAGATTAGACGCTGTTTAATAAATAGTGTCCAGTTAAAATATCCATAAAATTCCTGCAAGAGGTCAATCCCAACTCCGAATAACTCATTTGTAAGGTCTCCGGCTGCAGCACTAGGTGACTCAGGTTCGAAAATCTCATGGGACGTGAGTTCCTTCAAGATTGCAGATTCGCATTTCTGACTGATGAATTCCGACATGCACGAAGCCTTACTTCAAGCTGCAACAAACTGCAGAAAAGAATAGTGTCAGAAAAAAGCTAACTGTGGGCGGAAACAGATGCAAAAATTAATTGATAAAGTCGGAGACTGT